TTCGTAGGGAAGAAGAGTTTGACCACAGTGATTCATGGCTTCTTTAATTTCTGGTTAGACTACTGTAATGTGCTCCATGTGGGACTCTCTTTGAAACATGTTCAACCAGAGATGCTGCAAAGTGTGGCAGCAGAAAGCAGACTACTACGTATGTTCCTAAGGGTTTGTAGCAACCATATGGTCTTTAGGGGGCATATTATCATCTAAAAAATAAAAATAGCCTACCACCTGAAGGAATATGGACTGGTGAATCTAAAACATAAGAAAGGCAGGGCTTTCGTCAAAGCGGCTCCTCAACTGTGGAACCCCTTCCACAGGAGGATGGGCTGGCTCCATTCCCTGATGACCTTCTGGCAGGCAGCCCAGACTATAGTTCAATATTGCCTTTGGCATACAGTATGTAACTGGCTTTTAAAACTGTCTTTCAGAGTTCTTTTAAATGGTTTTTACATTGAGTTAAATCCTTTTTTTAAAAAAAGAATATTTATTTAACTTTTCAGATCCCATTGCATTGGGATCTGAAAAGCAATTAATACTTCTACCACATAATTAATTAAATAAAGGCCTGAAGTAGCAGAGATCCTTAGAAAACATTTAAAAATAACTAGCAATGGAAAGCCAAACTTTAATTTCAACAATTTACCTTTGACAAGATAGCTAATGTGATATGCTATAAATTACAATGAGCTTCATAGTGTTTTATATGGTGTTCAAGATCAACCCAACTCTGTTCAAACAGGCATATAACCAATTCTTCTCCTAACAATTGCAAATAACCAAGAAATCTGTGCAGGCAAAAAAAAATGGCTGGGGTGGTTGGAGAAATTGCTCCATTTCTCCCCAATCTCTGTAGTTCTCTTGCTAGCTGCCGAAAAAAGATTTTCTCTTCCTGTACAACCCACACAGAAATACACTAGGCTTGTAGAAGGGGAACAGATTAGAACAGTCCTTCTTTACCACCTTTAGAAGGATCTTCTGGGGGGGGAGGAGCTAAGAGGACAGCCTTCCTGTCATGGCCTTCCTACATATAGTGCTGAATACCCATCCAAACCCGACTGGAACTACCAGCTACTAACCTTTAAGAAAGAGGCAATGTACAGTGTATAAGACGCCCCCACTTTTCTAACCCAAAATTAAGAAATCTAAGTGGGGCTTAGCAAGTGTTGGGGGAAAGGTATCAAAGCACTGCAGAATTGCTTTGATCCCTGCTTTCCCCTCCACTTGTTTTTTCTCTCTGAGCTTACTTCTATGTATAAGATGACCCTCAATTTTTAGTCTAAAGATTTTAGACAAAAGTATAGTCTTGTACATTGAAACATACGGTGGTGGTGGTGGTGATTACTACTACTACTACTACTACTACTACTACTACTACTACTACTACTACATTAAATATTATCTGCAGGCTAATACCTTTTGTTGTTACAATGCTGCACTTAAGTGCACCGTAAGCAATTTTAATAGCACACAATTTCTTATAATTCTCCTAAAACCATACTTACCATGAAATCCCCTTTTCATCCTCTCCTATTGTGTTCTACCCATCATTGCATACCATAAAAAAACACATTTATATCCCACCCTTTCACTTTTTTTCTTTGTGCAAGGGAACAAACCAATCGGAAAGACTTCTATTAATTACTGCTGGGAAATGGTGGTTAATGCCAGAAGGCTAGAAGCCAAGTTCAAACTCCGACCTAGTATCTTAGCTTGTTCTGAAGTCATTACCTTGATTTCCCTTTGTGGAGAAAGCTCAGGATTATAGTTAATGGGCAGTTTTCTTATTTGCACAAAGGAAGAAGTGAAGAGGTTGGGGACATGGCCAAAATACTCAGCCATAGCTTGACTAATGACTGGATCAAGAACACCAAGCTAGCTTCATGACCCAGAAGGGATTTGAAACTAAGTCTACTCACTGATACTCTTGACACCTTTTCCTGTTTGTACCTTTTCTTATCTGCAAAGCTTGGAAAGGTTACTCTTTTGGACTGCAACTCTCAATCTCCTCTAGCCAGCCCACTTGCATGATTCTAGGTTGTTGTACCCGAAAAACCCACAACAACCACTTTGTCGTTCTGCTTATTTGTTTATATATTCCACCAAGAGCTCTCTCCATGAAATTCATGGTTATTCCTGCAGCTACAAGGGTATTATCATATTCTGGCTAGGTGTAACCAGGCAGAATATGGGCTGATCATGGCAGAACCGTCAAGGGAAGGAGCGGGATGAGAAAAGAGGGATTGAGTTCTTCCATACAGTCCTAAATACCCTCTTCCAAGTCAGATGTTAATCTGCAGCAACCAAAAAATAGTTAACATTTAATCTGTGATAAAAATCAATATGCCACAGGCAACAGACATGTAAACTGTTAATTAACACATGGCCACAATTGTGAGATTAAAACCATTCCTTGTCCAAACCAAATAACACTTGTTATTTACACACTTAACTGGTCATAGCGGCACAATCATTATTCGCTGAGCCAGGTTTTACGAAGAAGTGCTGCCAAACGTAACGGAATGGCAGTATGCCAGCAATCCATCCTCTGGAAAGCCCAGGCGGTGTTCCTCCTAAATAACTGATAGGCACTGCAGAACTGCCAATCTTTAATGAACTTCATTCCCACAAATACTGCTATAGCAGCAATGTTCCAGAACAAAGTGAAGGAATTCTAAATTAGTTTGAGTCACTGTTGCTAGGGGAGAGATCAGGGTTCACCTGTGTCCCTCTGCCATTTGTCTGGCTACTTAACACTGACTTAACAGTGTTTACTACCATGGCCAGTGGCTGCAAAATCAAAGACATCTCATGAGTAGCCTCACCCTGGGGCACAGGAGGCCCCAGTGCTCTTTGCAATTGGAGCTTCCCATCACAGCTTCATGCCCTCATGTTCCTCTTTCTTCCAATGCCTCTGAACCCTTCCACTTTTATATTGAGAATGAGCCTAAAGGAATCATTTTCAAGGTGCTGTGGACCTGGTGGCCACTGCAGAGCCATCCGAACTGGTACCAAAAGAGGAAGGCCCTTGAAATAATAAAGAGATATTAAGAAACAATACACTGGGTGCCAGATTTGTGGGCCGTCATGAGATGTGGACCCAAGCAGTTGCCCAACCATGACAGCTGCTGATGCCAGGCCTGCCTCCCTAGGTAGAATATCCAAGGATCAGGAATGATGAGAACTATAGTCCAACATCTCGAGCAGCCATCCTCAATCTTCTTTAGTCATGGCCATATATACAATATGAAAGAAATATAGGATTGCATAAGTCACATAATGATCTTTATAAGGTGATGCACAAATAATTGTTTCCAGTCTGTGGCTCCCTTCAAATATTTCAGGGCCCTCCAGGGCACCATATGGCTCCTGCTGAGAACAGCTGATCTAGAGGACCTTGTAAGTCCATACTACAGTGGTGCCTCGCATAGCGAGCGCCCCGTTTAACGACGAATCCGCGTAGCGATGCAGATTTAGCGATCGCAAAAGCGATCGCATTGCGATGTTTTGAATGGGTGAAAATCGCATTGTGATGTTTCCCCAACAGCTGATCGGCGGTTCCAAAATGGCCACTGGATGAAGAAAATGGCCGCCCGCAGCATTTTCGCACCCTGCCCTCGCTTACCGAGGCGGCGAAAATGGTGGCCGTATGGGGAATCTTCGCATAGCGGTGAGTTCCACCCCCAGGAATGCATTAAACAGGGTTTAATGTGTTCCTATGGGGTCCCCCCCCGCATAGTGACGTTTCCGGATAGCGACGATTTATCCGGAACGGATTATCGTCGCTATGCAGGGCACCGCTGCAGTCCTAGGCCAGGTTTATTGTCTGAAAGCATTTGATACAGAATAACATGGCTGAAGTTGAGCAGGTTCCATTTTAGTCAGCAATTGAACTGACAATTTTCCAGGAACCTAAGGTATACTTTCTAAAGCAGTGGTTCCCAACCTGGAGCCTCTTGTGTTTCAGACCATCTTCCAAAACTCTCAGTCAGCATAGTCAATGGTAAAGGACATATAATCCAACAATGTCAAGGATCCAAGGCTGGGAATCAGTGGTCAAGCACTCTACCAATATTCCAAGAAAATGAATTAAGTTACTTCTTTCCTTCCATTTAACCTCATGATCCGCACTTAAGGCAGTAGAACAGAGCTAGTTCACACATGAGAGATATTTACCCAATAAAGGAAACCATAGTTTTAGCTTACAAGACCCAAGCATTAGTATTATTTCCAGGGCCTTTTGAAGGTCATAAACTCATAGGGAACCCATAAGTCAGAAGCATTAACATAAGGCACTTAATCCTACTTAACAATGCACAGTGGGATTATGAGATCGCTGAAAGAGAAATGAAGTTTAAAGACTACTGTCCTTTAAAATGTGCAGAAGCCAAAATACAGCAAATTAGTTTAACTTTCCCCATAAATTTATTTCTACAGAGTCTAAAGGCCAAATAAGAAAAGTGCTCTGATGAGAGAGGAAAAAAACAATTCACAATGTATTACACAAATGGGAGAGTCACCCTTAGTCAGCACAACCCATCGAGAGGAGACCTGGGAGCAGCAATCCAACAGCACCTGAAGGGCTACATATGTCCCTGTATTAAACAACAGTTCAATACTATGGGAGTGAGCCTGGGCAAGCCTTTGGCTCCATTTTGTCTCCTCAGGTTTTCTCTGGCACATCCGAGACAGAGTTCAGAAGCATTTGCTTTCATTCCAAACTGCAAACTGCTGTTTTTTCCTAATAATGAAAAATGTGAACAAGCAGCTACCCTAACCGTTAATTTTGGACTCATCTTGTTCAGACAAAACCATAATTTAAACCAACCACAGTCTGCTGCAATTCAGACACAGTCACAAACTAGGAACGGCACAACCACAAATTCCAGCTAAAAGCTTAGCAAAGCCCTCTTTGGATGTTTGGAATTTTCAGAGGGAGGATTTCTCTGAGAATGTTAACAAGACAGCAAACACAAGCTCTTCTCCATTCACAGTATACTTACCCACATAATGCATATTAAGAGCCAAGTACTTGTACTGGAAGAGAGGATTATTGTTCAGGCTACTTCTCTGGATCTGCTGGAAGAAGGAACTGACATCCCATCTGTACAAGACGTCCAAAAGCATGATGCTCGGGACACGCAAGGCCACGTTCAACATAGCTTCCAACTTCTCCTTTGCAGCCATTCTGTTTCCTATTGATGAATATGTACCACCCTGTATAAGGAACAGAAATCAACAAGTACATTTCAGCATACAAAAAGCATCCATTACATCAAAAGACAAGAAGCTGTTTTCTACCAAACTAGGCTATCGGCATAAATCTAGTCAGTAATTGGGCTGAGTAGAGCTTGCAGGGGTGGGGTGGGGCAGGAGGTGGAATCCTTTTTATATCCCAATTCCCAGAATCCCCCATTCAGAATTCTGGAAGCTGTAGTTTTAGAAAGTAACATTTCCAAGCTCTACTCTCCAGCTGATGAGGAACAGATCTTTCTCATCACTTCTTATTAAATCCCTTAATGAAATAAAGTGGAAATCCAGTGTGGGGCTCTCCAGCTACTGAGGAACAGATCTTTCTCGTCACTTCTTATTAGATCCCTTAATGAAATAAAGTGGAAATCCAGTGTGGGACATTCAATGTGCAAAACATGTGCTCTCTCATTGAATGATGACCCTTCCCCACTTCCTGCTAGATCACCCAACACTTTGGTCTAGCTCAGTATTCTTTCTGCTGCCAACTGGCAGCTGGATGCCTCTACAGGCCACAAACAGGGGAAGTAATGACTCAGAAAGACACTATCTCTAACTTGGGAGGTGCCACTGAGCCATCGTGATTGCCTTTTTGTTATTATTAATATGTTTCCTCTTTTAGCACAACACATCTTCTGAGAGTCACCTGTACATTAGCATTTTTTTTGTACATGGAAAATGCTGAGAATCTATCAACAGAGGAACAAATTTTGCTATCTTGTAAAAAATCTAACAGTCAAAATTCAGCAAATTCCTTTTTCTGTATATTCCAGCCAGTAATTGGGTTTTAACACAGGCAATTTCCACACTATGTCTTAAATCCAGTTCTTTGCATAAAAAGTCTATTCCTAACTAGGAAAAAAAAATCTCCACCACAATTCTCAGGGACATATGCCCCAAGCTGGCTAGCATGCATACACATACCCCATCAGTCATGGCAGGCACCCTTTATTTGATGGCTAGGAACAGGTTGAAAATTATATGATGTTTGCTAAGCATGAGAATTTCAGCTTGTGTGTCAAACAAAGGAGATCTTCCAGTAATAATTGGCAACAAGAGCAGAACGATGGATAACAAGGGTTCTGTACATTTTGTTCCTTTCTGTCTGTATTTGTGACATGCCTGAGAAATTCATCCTATCATTGACATTCTAATTCACTATAAAGTCATGCAAATGAACCCTTCTCTCCATATTCTACCCCACATCCACTTTCAATGTGAAGTGAACCCCTCTTTATTGCTTGATAGAATAAGAAAAAAATGGCCTAACTATTCTAGAATAAAATAACACATCTCAATGATGTACTCATTTATGTGCAGAACATGGAATGACCATGCTGTCTGAGGGATTCTGGCGGCTGAAATCCAAATGGCCACATTTTCAATCTGTGTCTACACGAGTGCTTTAAGAGCTACCTGGGTATACACTATCTCCATTTATTTATCTGTTACTCTTGCATGTTTTGTTCTGCAAACTAGCATGTCTGCCTTTTTTCCTTTGTAAGTAACTCAATATTTCTTTGGCTATTTTAGCATGACCTCCAAATCACTTACTTGCCCTTTGATAATAGGGGTCTGAAGATTGTTAGAAAGAACCTGGGACCTTAACTCTGCCTGCAGTGACCTGTATTAACAGAATCCATACCACAATCTGACCATCTGTTACAATAGAGAGAAAAAACAGTTCACATTTCTGGTGGGCCTCTTTCTCTCTGCCAGTTTCTAGCTTTCTTGCAAAGAGTACAGTACTTGAATAGATAGTATGGTATACTGTATATTCATTGGTATGAATCAGGAAGACACATGTTCTGTTCTTAAGCACCAGTGCATATTTCGATTACCTGCTATAGACAAGTCTTTAATTTGACCCAACAGGGTTGTCCTTTACATTTTTCTGCTTTGAGAAATTGTCTTAGTTTGCACTCTCATCCTGCGTCCTTTTGGTGGTTAAATATGATTTCAGCCTTCACTGCTACCAGTCATCGAGTGACCTTATAAGACAGTGGGTCCCCAAACTTGGATAAACCAGGTGTTCTTGGGCTACAACTCCTAGAAACCCTGGGCAGCACAGCTGGGAATTGAAGTCCAAGAACACCTGGGTTACCCAAGATTGGGACCCACGGCTATAAGAGATGCTCCAGAATTCGAGAGAATTCTGCAGTAATTAGGAAAACACTGTATGAGTAGGTGTTGAAAAGCACCCACTTCCATAAGTGTATCACTCAAAAATAAATGGAAACTGGTGAACAGTTATATTTAGATACCTTTCCCCCTTTAATTTTAAAAACTCTCTTGCATTGGTTAGTTTTAAGACTCCACACACAAATAACTGCTCTGTAATTGAAGTTACTTTGCAGGATGTAACAATTTCTAAATATAGAAAAGCTTTTTCAAGGGTCTGACAATGTTTTGCCCTCAGTATTGCTCCAGGGTTGTTTCAGGAGAACTTTATGACAGAACTGTATACACTCTTGTGGTGGTAGTATTGGTGTGTATGTGGTTCTATTCTTTTTATAGAGATCAGCAAAAAAAAAAAAAAATTTAATTACCCCACAATTGGTTTCTATCCCAGGCAGGTATTGTTTTTCATTGCAGTTGAAGACAAACAGGTGACAGCAAAGTCTGCAAAATTCTTAGCAGCTGCTATCAAAATAAGGATTAATTCAACATTCCGAATTCTTACTTCTTTACAAATGTTAGTTACTTGATCTTATCCAGTTTTGTTAGGTATCAGAGATGAGTTATGTAATTTCTTCCTGGTTTTTTTCCTTTTCTTTTTGGTGTGTCGGTTTTATCTTTTGATACCAAATGATGTACTGCTTGCAAAAGCCTGTGGCTGATAGAGATAAACAAACCTGAATGTGAATTTATCTCAAATGACTGAGAGAGCTCCTGTCGTGACAGTTTCTCTCTTTTTCAGAATTCAGCACTACTAGGAGTTGTAACGCCCATAGCACCATGTAGCACAGCAAGGCTGTGACAAAAGAGATGTTTAGGCAACACACAGCTTGGAAAAGTTGCATTTTTGACCAGAACTCCTCCAGACAGAATAATAAACCCACCCTCACAGAACACCCAACTCCCTTCTGCAGATCCACAGAAAGGAAATGCTGGCAAAATTATTTCTAGTGGATTCTATTTTATGTGTCGATGTGAAGTGTGTAAAAAACTACCTAGAGAAAGCCTTAGAATTTTTAGTGACGTAAGCCCTTACCAAATGTCAAAACCTCGTTCAAATCTACACCATTGAATCTAAGGAAACTAATACAGGAGCCTATCATGTAGTTATAGCTATTCTGTATTTATTTATTTGTTTGTTTGCTGCACAATTTGAAATTATGGATGTATATGAAATATAGGTAACATTAAAAATAAATTTGAGTGTTAAGATAATTAGACTACCTTTGAACGTAAGCAGGTTACTTCGATAGGGTTATCTTGGCCATTTGCTACATCTTCTTTTGTACATATAGTGGGGTCATAGATTGCATGCACTATGGAACGTCCTCCCGAGGGAGATTCGTCTGGCGCCAATGCTGATGACGTTTCGGCATCAGGTCAAAACCTTCCTGTTCCATAAGGTTTTTAATTGAAATAATATCATCTGTGGGTCCTGATGGCAGTTTTTAGAGCACGGTATTTTTAACTGTATTTTAATTGTTTTATCTTTTTATTGTATTCAAATCGGTGTAAGTCGCCCAGAGGCCTTTGAGTAGTGTGGGTGGCATATAAATAAAATAAAATAAATAAATAAATGTTACATTGATTGAATTTCTCCACAGTCACAGAATTATTGTCCTGTATCTAGGTAGCCCCATTTTAATTGACTATTTCATTTTCCTACTTTGCAAAATATTAGAAGTTGTAGCCATACTAAGATATATTTCTGCTCCCATGTCATACCAAAGAAATCCTGGCACTAAAGTCATAATTTACATTAACTTTTCCTGTGAAACCAAAAAAATGTTCAATTCGCTAAATACGAAAAGCTGCTGATAGTAGTATCCCTACCTAGGGAGAGGCATATGATGCTTGATGGCAGAAGATAAACAGCATCTTTGTAAATTGCAATTATGTAAAGGGAATAAGCAAGCCTTCATAATCTTGGGAGAAATGCCTATTCCAATACTAGCCAATTGACAAAGCCGTATGTCTCATTTGCATGTGACTGAGATGGAATTAACCCTTTGACCAGCTATATATGTTCTAAGAGCAAGTTATGTATTTGCTAAAGATTAGATGAATTAGATGAGTTGGAAGAAAAATGGTGCTTTCCCCACCAACAGCCTTGACATTTATACTAATCACCAGAATAATAACAACAAAACCCTACTGAGGTGATTAATTTTTTTTATAAAAACCCTAATTTTAAAAAGGCAATTATTATTGTAGTTTCTTACAGCATAAAGGTCAGGGTTTCAATATATTTGAATAGTGCAGTTATATATTACAATGGGGTGGGCAACCTCTAAAGTGACTCATGGCCACCCACAGATCTTGAAGGGCTGAACCCACCTACAGTACTGAAAAATATATTTTCTTTTAAAATGACTTTTTGAACTGAAAAGTCCACATAATTTAGCAGCCCAAACTTTTTTTTTAACATTACAGAACTTTTTTGGTTCATGTAGTGTGCCTTTGAGGGCCTTTGGGAGTCATGCTTTGTCCACCCCAAAAGCAGAAGTAAGGTATGTTGATAGCAACTATTAAAATACTGAGGTAAAATGTTAGATTCAATTCTGCTAAGTAGCAAGAGACCATTCTTGAAGCAGTACCTATTTTAAGGAATATCTGATAAGATTTCACCATGAGCAATAATAGATAGTGATTTGCCTGGTTAATTGACTACAGTGCTAATTGTAGACAAAGATGCAGGATATATGTGTACAGTACTTCTTCTTTCTTCCATACCACCTGGCATATCCATCTCCCATGAATTTAGTATGACCTAAATTCTCTGCCTTAAA